CTCCTACTTTGCAAAAACAAAAAAGTTTAAGATTAAGTAAACTAAAGCGAAAAAGCAAGAGTAAAATGATTCTCCAGTCTAACAATGAGTGTACTCACTTAAAGGAGAGAAGCTCTGCTCCAGTGACTATTTTAAAGTGTATAAATAGTTAGAGCAGGGATTGTGTCCCAGGACTCTTCTCTTCTAGGTAAATGCCCTAACCACTAAACCAAGGGCTGGCAACTTGTGGCCCATAGGCCAGATCCAGTCTGACAAGCAATTTCACCCATCTTATGGAGTTAGGGACACTGGCAGCAATTCAGTATGAGGACATTCAGCAATGGGTCAGAAGCATGGTGGCAGCAGTTCCATGGTGGGCAGTGGCAGCGGTCAGATTGCAAGTGGGAGCTTGCCTAAGACCAAGCTGCATTATTTTGTCCCACTGATCTTAAAAACTTGCCAACCCCTGCACTAGGCTAAAGGTTCAGGCTTACTCTTGCTCTTTCTTTCTATCCTTATGGCATAATCAATTTTAAATTATTTTCTACAGTGGCATAGCTTCAGCTGGAATGAAAGAGCCTGCAGTGATTAAGCATGCTCCTGGGATGTGGGAAATGTGGGTTTGCATTACCTCAGACAAAGAAATTGACCCTGGGAATTCTACCACATGGCTGAAATTACCACCACCACCACCACACTATTTGCAGCTGTGTTTCCGTGTTCTATTCTCAGATGAAAGACCATAAGCACATATCTTCAGGCGAGAGTTTTGGGCTGTTAATCCCAACTGGAGGTAACTACTTCCTGCAGTCCCCAGTAAAATGCTTAAACCCTAGAGCAGGAGTGGCTAACCTGCAGCGCACAGCCTTTGTGGGTGGCACATGGCATACCAGGGATGGGACAAGCAGCACAGTGGTAGATATGGCAGGAAGCAGAAAGGAGGTCAGAAGATCAGGCAGGAAACAAGAAACAGAGCAGCAGAACAGGCACAGGAGGGGGATTAGAGTGATGCTTGAGGAGGGTGTGGAGCTAAATTGTGGCATGTCTGACAAAAGATAGGCCCCCACTGCCCTAGGAAGTGGTGTTTCCATACTGGCCAGCACTAGGTTTCTTTCAACTGTACTGGCTTGTTTTGGTTCTAATCTGAGTAGCCTAATTCTCTTCATGCACTGTATAAAGGGCCTATGTGCCTAACTCAGAATTCTGGATTCCACTTCAAGGCTAAGTGCATAAAAATAGGCATTGCAGCACTCAGTAATGCAGTACCTAAGACTGTTTTTGATTCTAACTCTTAATTTCCATGTGCCTTGGTCTCCTCTTTGGTAAAAGAGAGGTATTGTAAAATGAATTATTGTTGGTGAAATTTTTGAGATGCCTAAAGAAAAGGCACTTTACAGGGTAAAGAAATAATTGGACACATCTTGAGAACCTGCAGTCTAACTTAAATAGATAGCAGAAGTGAAAATACACATTGGGAGAATGCTTCTCTGAAATAATTTAGGGGTAGTGTAACAGGAATCAAAACAATTTACGCCAGATGTTCTTTGCTGTCTAAATTTTGGCCAGAATTATTCAATCCAACTGTAGAAGCACATATCTGAAAATTAAGCAGAAACTGGGTAGTGACTTCAGCTCAAGCACTTTGGGGCTCAATTCTCCCATTAGTGGATGCATCTATAAGTGCTATTAGTATGATGCAATAATCTCTGGCGCAGTTTGCACTGGAGTTTATTGCTCCCAGGTGCCATGTTTACATGTGTGTCTGGGACTGCCATATGTTGAGCTGGGTCAGAGAAGCCCTAACTGGCAGGGGACCTGGGTGGGGGTCAGACTACACCCACATCTGATCTGACCCAACTCAGCATGCTGCGGAGGGGCTGGCTGGAGCATGAGGCTGCTAACTGGCAAGCTGCACCTGCACTGAAGCACCCTCGTGCCCCAGCCAATCATGTCAGTGTCCACATGTGCACTGTGGTGCACTAAATAACGTTGCTGCAGGACAGTACTTGTGTTTACAAGTACTATACTATGGTAGTGTTTATTAGTTTACTGCGGACATAGGACCTCATATGTAGATGCTGAGACTTTACTGCAGAGCTAATTAGTCAGCTCTACAGTAAATGTCTTGTATAGACATGCCCAGCGTGTCTGGAATAATTTCATGAATCTACATTGAATTTATCCCAGGTAATAAAGAGCAGAGTTTGTTCCAATGACATTGGCAAAAAAAAGAATAAGAATCACTAGATTCCTCTAACAACTCTGAAATAAATCAGGCTGCTGGCTAACCAAGAAATGTAAAATGAGACACCTGTGTTCCAGATATAAACAGATGTTTGCTATTCATTTCCTTTGCAGAATATGTAATGTGTCAGTTGTTTTCCCTAAGGTAGACTAGATTTCTTGAACAGAAATTCCACAATGCAATTAACAACTTTGTGCTTTCCCGTTGTGATTCAAATCTCAGTCAGAACAATAGACTTTGCATTCATGATAACACTTTTAGAGAGAAATTTAAGGGCTTTAAAAGGCCCTTAAATTCCCACATCTGAGTGTGAAGACACACTAAAGGACCTACTCTCCACTTGGAACTCCCTTTGCACCCTGACTGTAAATACAGTGAGGTTCAGTTCACTGGCACATCCACCTTCATGCAATTGATGGTAGAGATTAATGTTTTCTTAAAATAAATTCCTACCTATGGGTTGTCCAGCTAATAAGCAAGACCCTTTCTTTTTAGAGGTATTAGATATGAAGCTTCTGTGCCCAGTATCATTTCCCCTTTGTAGGTTACAGTGAATAATTCCGCAATTCTCTTCAGTATTGTAGTATTTATTTTATTATTTTTTTAGTCATTACATGAAATGTTTTGGGATCCTATCAAAATGCTAATAATTTGTACAAAACTCCAATAATTAGATTCTATATATGGAAAATTATATCAAATTTATAAATTTTCCAGATACAGAATCTAATTATTGCAGGGGGAGTTCATCTTGTAACCAGGGTCATCTTATATTCAAGTAAATATGGTAACAGGCTTACTCCCCCAAATAAGAAAACTAGCCCTCAAATAAGAAACTAATCCACATAGTTCACTTGTCCCAAGTACTGGCAAAAATCCCCAAAGTCCACTCACTTCTATGAGGTTCCTATCTGCAGCCTCCCTGCTCCTTATCCAGCTTCTCCATGCCTATTGGCTAAGGCTCCTGTTATCAAGTTGCCTCCAGATTTGCTCAGTCTTTGCTGACTTACATCCAGTTCTGGCTTTTTCTCAGTCCTCCGCTATGGCTGCTGGGCTTTCCCAAGCTTTGGCCCTTCCCCAGGCCTACTCACCATGACAATATCCAGTCTAAGTTCCAGCCAGAAGAAGCTCCTCTGCCTTCTGTTGCTAGGCCTTTCTGCTAAGCCCTGGCAGAAACTAGGCTTATACAGTCAGGGGTACAGGCTTTCCAGCCAACACAGCCTGGCTCTTAAAGGCTAAGACCCTTATGCCTCTGTTTCAGGGGTGTCAAACTCATCTGGCCCCCAGGGGCGGTCCTCAAGGGTGTCAGGCTCATCAGGAGGTGCGGTTCCAGACTGGTCTATGGATGCTGCATACAGCATAGGTCCCAGACCAGCTGGAGTGGGCACTGCAAGCAATGGAGTTCTGAACTGGCCAAATCTGGTGCCAATCCAGCATGCAAGGGGACCCACAGAACTGCCACCCTACTACCCCACATTCTGGATTCAGTGCTTACTCTGGCTAGTCTGGGACTGCACCACACATGACCCACACTTCAGGACTTGCACTGTATGTGGCACCCACCCTGGACCAGTTGGAGTAATCAGCGTGCAGCTTGTGTACCTGACTAGCCACAGCAGGCATTGCATGTGGTGTAGTCCCGGACCTGCAAGAGCACGAGCCACAGGCAGTGGAGCTGTTGTGGAGTGGGGAGAGTCACGGACTGGACCCACACAAGGCCAGCATCGCGGCCTGGATGATGGGTTCCACGGGCCATTCTGCTCTTTGACATCCAGAGCTGTCTATAAGGGTGTGTGGGACCCGGGGCATATCAGACTGTGTGGGGCCCAGAGCGGGGGCGGGGGGTGGGTGGGGGCGATGGCTAGCAGCCAGACCCAGCAGTGTTTGGTGGCAGCAGCAGTGGCAGAGCCAGCAGCTCTTGGCAGTGGCAGAGCATGACAGCACTGTCCATGGGGCCCCCCAAAACGTGGGGCCTGGGGCAGTCGCCCCGATTCTCCTCCCCCATGGATGGCCCTGTTGACATCCATCCCTATTATATCTCTTTGTAATGGGGTTAGGGACCTCATGTTACGGAGAGAGACAGTAACATATTTATCATTCTCTTTTGTGCGTTAGTGTATCTACACAACTGCCCTAAAGTATAGCAGGCTTAAAAAACAAGAAGCAAGATGGCCCCCATTTTCTTTTTTTTGAGATGCAGGTAACTTGTAAAAGGTTCTGCTGAGAACACCTCATCTGTGAAGTTAAATATAAATTCAAGAGTTATACTTAAGAGTGGGGACCTGGTGGCTGCCTACAAGCTCATCGGGGGGGGGTCGGTCAACAGAAAATAGGCAGAGCCCTTTTCTCCCCAGCACCACCTGGGGTGAAAAACAAAAATGGTCATAAGCTGATGGAGAACAGGTTTAGGTTAGAGATCAGAAGGCAATATTTTACAGTTAGGGTGGCCAAAATCTGGAACCAACTTCCCAGGGAAGTGGTCTTCGCCCCTACTTTGGGCAAATTCAAGAGGAGGTTGGACGATCACCTGTCTGGGGTCTTGTGAACCCAGCATTCATTCCTGCCTGTGGCAGGGGGTCAGGCTAGATGATCTGTTCAGGTCCCTCCTGACCCTAGCTACTATGAAACTATGAAGACCCCCAGACCAGTTCCTAGAAACTGAAAATCTTATAGATTCCAGTACCACGTGGCACATGGAATCTTATAGATGATGGTGGGAAAGGAATTTTAGCTTTTGAAGTCATGGCAATAAAATCATAAATGAGACCTTCCAATAATGCTAACATTGGTGGCGCTGCATTATAAAAAGGCTTACGTGTGTGTGAATTCTGGTGTTATGTAAGCAAAAGCAAGCCTGCCCCTTTCAAAGCAGAAGCCCTGAAAACAGGCTGAAGTGAGAGGTTGAGTTGTTCTTACAATATTCCGTCATTTGAAAATAGAGTATGACTGTATTTGTTGAAATACTTCATTGTGCAAAACAAACAACTCATGCCTTCTCAAAAACCCCACCTTTAAAGTGATCAGTGATTTTCTAGAACAGAGGTGTTAAACTTATCTGGCCCTGTGGGATCTAGTGCTCACGGCACTTACTCTGGGATCTGTGTTGCATGTGGCATCTGTTCTAAACAGTCTGGGATGCACACCACATGTGGAGGCGGGGCGAGGGCAGGCGATCTGGTGCAGACTGCGTGGGCCAACGCAAGACCCAGGGACAACACTGAGGGCAAGATTAGGGGGCTCTGTGGAGCAGTTCCAGCCCACAGACCCTGTCTTTAACAGACCTGTGCTAGAAAATGGAAACAAAATGCTACAACCAAAGTAGTTTTGAGCAAAGCATTATATGCTCATAACCATCATCAATTTATTTCACACATGTAACTTAAGTGAACTTGAGCTGACATCACTCTGCCCTACTCATTTTCTTGTTATAGTACAAAAAGAAAAGCCAGAGATTTATCATGTCATTTATCTGTCCTCTATTCTTTTGAAACAGAAGAATAGCAGATGGGCAGTGAGCAGTTCAACAAAGGCCCCTTAGTGCCTGTGTTCTAGCAAGAGATACAACCAAGAAACTCAACTAGAAACTGAAGGTGGTGCAATAAAATTTATGCTGACATATCTTTAGTCTAGTAAAGATTCTGTCAGTCTCTAAATCAATGATCTCCACTTGGGAAATTTTGTACAATTTAAAATAGCTAGATCAAACCAAGTGTAATTGTTTTAACATCTACCTCCCAGGAACTTATTGGGATCTGTTCATCTGATGTGGCGAGATGGCAGATGTGGATTTATATTATATCTGCTCTAAATTCTAGGTTTATGGTTTGTATTTTCCCATTCCCTAAAAGTTTGCAGACCCTTATCCACTATTTTAATGTACTACCTTTAAGAGAATCTAACAAGCTAAAAAAGAGAGTTATCAACGGAAAGATTTATTAATCTAGTCACTCCTCCTACTAATCAAGAATGAGTTATATAAGATAAATAGTTATTGTTTAACACTTCATAAGAAAAAAAATAAATGAGAAAATGCCCCTCACAACTAGATCTGAGACTACCTTAACAAATCAGAAATGCACTAGAAAGAGGGTTTTAAAGCCCCTGATGTTTGCATCACCACAAAACAAATTACTGTTTTGGCTAACACATGCTTAGAACAGAAAACATGAGGGGTCAGATCTCAGACCTTCAGAATAACAGGGCCTGATCCTGTGGGGGCCCCAAGCGCCCCAGGGGAACTTCAGACTTTTTAGCATAAATGCCAAATGGGGCTCTTCAGGAAAACAGTATTGTGTGCTGTCAATGTACAGGTTTTACCATATGAATAATCATAAATCTGATTTTTATTAAAGAGGACAGATCAATAGGCCCTTTGTTCCACAAAGATGTTTTCTCTTGGTGATTCAGAGCAGATGGAATTAAGTCACCATTCTCATTCAGTGTGAACTAAGGACAGTTACTCCATTCAGCAAATATTGCCCCAGATCTTGCTTGAGGAATCCCACTAAAGTCAATAAGAAGACTAAAGCAAAAAGGTAAACATGTTTACAATAAACATTTTTTTAGCATTTGAATAAAACAAATTGAATATTGACTATTGTTTGTTCAAATGTTAACACGGCTACAACCTACACCCCTGTAATTTTTAAAGAGAACTTACACTACCCCTGCAATAGATTCTGGAAATCTCAAATTTCATAGTCTTAGAAACCACAGTGATTTGAACTTATTTCTTTTAATATGTTATAAATCACAAACTGACTTGTGCTAAAAAAGATATCACAGCTACAGAGGTGAAAAAAATTCATGAGTGAGAGAACAAGCAACGAAATAAACAACCAAATGACAAATTATAGCCTGAATTCTGTAATGTACTTTAGCAAGCGCTTTATTTTAACGAGTAGTCCTGTAGTCCTATACGAATACTCAAATACTTTGCTAAAACGGGTCTTTATAATACATTTTAGGCTATGGTAGAAATGAATGCTTAGCCTAATCTCACACTTAAGAAAACACAACCCCTGTACAGACAAAAATAGTGGTAGGGTTACTTATGCTGAACCTTTAATAAAAAATCCTCCTGAAATATTATTGTGGCACTTGGTACTGCTGCTATTGTAAAGAGCATTTCCATTATAAACCCCTATTTGAGAGGTTTAAATAACTCAAATGAAAAAAAATGCTGCAGAATGAAACTAAACAGAAATCTTTCCAAAGCAGCAGCTGTTGATTTAAAAAAAAAGAAAGAAATAATAACACCTCCAAAAACTTAAGGGAAAGAAATAAATTGGATCTTTACTAGTACCAATATGCCTTTATTTCTTATATATTTGCATAAAAATAGGTCATTTAAAATGAAATGTCGCAGATGTATTTGAAAGTAGTATAGTCATGTGAATGAGATATTAAGATTCAAAAAGCAACTATAGATATTTTCAGAAAGCAACTATTTCTGACATTTTTTATAATGTGGTTGGAAGCATGGACCTGTAGCACAAAACAGGGTCCAGTACATTTGCATTCACAGGACACTGTACACAATTTAAGCTCCTGGTGTTTTGACACTAAAAGCAGGTCACAATTTTCAACTCAGAATTTAAACTCTGATGCAGTGTCAACTGACAGCAATGAAAAGACTCCCATTGATTTAAACAGACACAGAAGAACCCGTTAATCCTGCAGTCCTCCCAGGCAAAATGCATATTGAAGTTACCAGAAAGGAGCTTTTCCTGAAGACATTTTTTAATCAAAGTCCTAAGACCTGGATTCTATCTCCATTAAGTAAAAAATACAGCTCTTATGAGACCAGGACCAATGAAAAAAATGGTCTTGTGCTCTTTTCTTTTTTGGCCAAGAATGCATCAGGAAAGCCTGACATATTGTTCCCTTCCCCCTCCTCCATTTGTTGCTTAATTTTTACATGAGAAAATCAGAATACATCTCCCCTGAAGACCATTGAAAATATCAGAACAGTCAAGATATTTCAACTTGGGCAATTGAAGCCGTCTTCAGCTGACAGAAAATAGGTTTGAGAGGAGGAAACCTAACAGGCAGGAACTAGCCTGTCCTAGAAATGCAATGGGTACAGGACACTTTACTTTGAACTCAGTACTTTGAAAAAATCAACCAGAGCCAGAGGTTGTCTTTGCCTTCTGTTTGAGGAACACAAAGTGATGAGCCCCCATTAGGCGAGGGGCAAGCGTGTGCGAGTGAGTGAGCCACAAGCACCGCGTCTCCGTCCCGGGGGGGGACAAATGCGGCCGCGGCGAGGTGCAGTGCGGGCCGGGCCGACACTGCAGGGGCTCTTGCGCTGCTCAGTAGCGGGGGAAGCCAACCCAAGACCGCGCCTGAAACGAGCGCCGCG